CCAGTTCCCCCTTCCCCAATTAAATATTTTTTCTTCTATTCTAATGAAGGTTGTATTACAAATATGCTAGTCTTTGGTTGTGTTAATGGAAAGAAGAAGAAAAAGTCCCAGCGAAAGAAGAATGGATATAAAAACTTATGGAATATGCAGAAATGGCAAATCTTACCGGGGGGGGAATCAAGATAACAAACTTTTTAGATATTTCTTATTAAAATGAGAGAGGAAAGTATCAATGAAAAGAATTTAAGGAATTATCAGGCAATTTTACAACATGGATACCATATCATCATTTGAACCAAGTATTTAAGAAAGATATAATATGAGGGTTTGGGGAACAAATATCACAACTGGAAGGAGATCTGTTGGAATGTAATGTAAAAGTGCTGTCTAAAATGTATAAGATATTATTGGAATGGGAGACCAAGGATGAGCAAGTAAATTCCTCAATGATACATTGGGCAATAGATACTGGTTATAATATAGATATGGGAGCATGGGAACGATTGTGGAATATAGATATAAAACTTACATCATGAAAGAAAATTATATGAAAAAGTTATATCAATGGTACCTAACACCGAGTAAATGGCAAAAATGTATAAATCAAAATCAAATAAGTGTTGGAAGTGTAAAGAGAAAGAAGGTTCTTTTTATCATATGTGGTGGTCTTGCAGTAAGATTAAAGGTTACTGGGAAATGATATATAATGAACTGAAAAGGATATGCAACATAATTTTTATTTTTAAAAAAAACCCAGAAGGTTTTCTTTTAGGAATTATAGGGACAGAACTACCTAAATTGTATAACAAAAAGTTCATGTATGCAAATGGTTTATTGAATATTTAGAAATAAACTGTAAACAGATAAGAAGATTGGCAGTTTTATTGTAATAACCTGCAGTTTTATAAGAGTATTTAAAGTAGCTGAATAAATGAGCAAATAAAGTTAATTTGGATACGCAGAAAATATTAAAAAAAATTAAGGAATTGAAGAAAGAGGGGGAAGGAAGTCAAGTTTTGAAATGTTAAGATGATTGTAAAATTATTGAAATGTATAAAATTGAAAATCAGAAAAAATAAAAAAGGAATGAGTCACAATAGAGACTGCAGTTTCTTTTTGATGCATGGTTTGTATAAAACTGAAAATCATAAATGATCTATAAAAAAGAGAAAGGCAGGGCATTCCTGTCAGCATTCACCTGCACAGTGCTGGCTGCCCCCCACCCACCTTGCCCCTCTTCCGGGAAGCTGCAGTGATGCTGCTGCCAGGAAACTTGCAGCTAAGGTACCTCTTCTACCAAACTCTGTTATTACACTTTTTTTTTGCCCAACTTTCTCTCCAAGGAGTTCAAGATGGCATACATGGTTGTCTTCCCCCTCCTCATTTAATCCCCTTAACAACCCTTTGAAATAAGTTAGGTTAGATGCATCAAATTCCTAGAATCGTACAGCTGGAAGGGACCCCAAGGCTCATCTAGTCCAGCCCCCTGCAATGCAGGAATCTCAGTGAAAGCATCCCTGACAGATGGCCAGCCAACCTCTGCTTAAAAACCTCTGAGGATGGAGAGCCCACCACCTCTCGTGGGAGTCTGTTCGACTGACAAACAGCTCTTACTCTCAGAAAGGTTTTTTTCTACAAATGTTTAGTTGGAATCTCCTTTCTTGTAACTTGAAGCCATTGGTTCCAGTCCTACCCTCCAGAGCAGGAGAAAACAAGCATCCTCCCTCTTCCATGTGACAGCCCTTAAGATATTTGAAGATGGCTATCGGATCTCCTCTCAGACTCCTCTTTTCCAGGCTGAACATACTGTGATGGCCTGGGATTCAAACTCGGATGCTGAACCTGAGGGATCCCAGCCTGCACAGGATTCCCCGCCTCCAGAACCAGCTGAGCTGGGGCTGGGGCATGAGCCTGAAGGGTCCTCACCTGTGCTGGCTCCTCAGGTGCAGGCATCAGCTGAGTCTGCTGTGGCTCCTGAGGTGATGGAGGACCCATTGCCTGCAGGTGCTCCACTCTCAGCCCCGTCAGAGGAAGCTGAGGTTGCCTCTGGGTCCAGTAACCCTCCAGCCTCTCTTGAGCTGCAGAGGCTCAGGGCAGAGAGGCGGAGGGAACTAAGTTCCCACAGGAGGAGTGCTTGCCTCCAGGCCAGGAGAGGCGAGTCACCAGAGGATCGGGACCGCCCTATGCCTCGGGGCAGATAAAAGCCGGCCAGCCCCAGTCCCAAGCTGCGGGAGCAACATTGTTGGTTGCTAGTTCCTGCCTGAACCCTGTCCTGCTTTCCTGCCTGAGCTTCTGACCCACCCTGGCTCCCTGCTTGCATAACTGTTCCTGACTTTTCACCCGACTCCCTGCCCTGCACCCAGCGCCAGCTACTACGGACTGCCTCCACGTTGCACCTTTGACCATGGACCGGACTTGGACCCCACCTCTTGGGTAACCCACGGGACCAGCACACATACCCAGATCCTTCAAGCGTTCATCGTAAGGCTTAGTTTCCAGACCCTTGATCATCTTGGTCACCCTCCTCTGCACGTGTTCCAGCTTGACAACATCCTTCTTAAATTGTTGTGCCCAGAATTGGACACAGTATTCCAGGTGTGGTCTGACCAAGGCAGAATCGAGTGGCACAATTACTTCCCTTCATCTGGACACTATACTTCTGTTGATGCAGCCTAGAATAGCATTAGCTTTTTTTGCTGCTGCATCACACTGTTGACTCATGTTAAACTTGTGGTCCACCAAGACCCTTAGATCCTTTTCACTTGTACTGCTAGTAAGCCAGGTGTGTCCCCCTCCTATATTTGTGAATCTGGTTCTTTCTGCCTATATGCAAAACCTTACATTTGTCTTTATTGATATTCATTTTGTTAGCTTGTGCTCAGTTCTCCAATCTGTTAATGTCATTTTGAATTCTGATTCTGTCTTCTGCAGCAATAGATACCCCTCCCAGTTTGGTGTCATCTGAAAATTTGATGAGCATCCCCTCAGCTCCTTCATCCAAGTCATTTGTAAAGCCATTGAACAGCAATGTGCCCAGGACATAACCCTGTGGCACTTGTGGCTTTTTTCCTGGAGGACCAAAATGCCCAGGAGGACATTCCTTTTTTATTATTTGCGATTTTCAATTTTATACATTTCATTAATTTTACAATCATTTTAACATATCAAAACTCGACTTCCTTCCTCCTCTTTCTGCTGTTCCTTTATATATATATATATATATATATATATTCACACACTCCAAAGTATCTTAATTTACTCATTTATTCATATAGCCTTGTTGACCAAAGTTCACTCCAATGTGCCCATCAGGTCAAAAGGTCCCCAGTACCCACAGGCCATGCCTGACAACAGTGAATAAAAGATGCCCACAACCCAACACTGCCATCCTTTCTGAAATCTTCTCACCTGTCCAGACTATATGCCAATTGCCCAAATTGAAGGAACATCACGCCAACAGACAACATCACTCAACAGTGTGGAGTAGGTGAAAAAGAGAAGACCCAGAGCAAATTAGAGTCTCCCCAAAATATATCTACTCAGCCCCTAGAAAGCAGAAGACTAGCTTGTAGGCCCACACTGAAAAAGGACAAGAGGGTTGTTGCTGATTAAGAAGGGAGAATGCAGGACAGAACAGATTTAAATAGTCTATCACCACCTTTCCCCATTGAGCAAAATTGCCCTCAGGCCATAATATTCTCCCATAGAAAAATACTGCCTTTACTTTTTTTCTAGGCGAGGAGGGGTGTGACAAATTCACCCCCGGCCATAATTGGGGGCAAACACATCAGCAGCTAACAACAACAACAAGAAGAACAACAATTTATTATTTATTCCCCACCCATACGGCTGGTTTTCCCCAGCCACTCTGGGTGGCTGCCAACAGATGAATAACAGAATAAAACATCACACATTAAAAACTTCCCTAAACAGGGCTGCCTTCAGGTGTCTTCTAAACATCAAATAGTTGTTTATGTCATTGACATCTGATGGGAGGGGGCCACTACCGGTTCTAGGGGTACTCTCCTCAGGTCCCTTGGCTATGTAGCTACAAAATGATCAGACAGCCCTCGGGGGTGGGGGGATGAATTGATTACCTTCATCCTTCATCCTGCAATCCCTTCCATCCAAAGAGGCCTGAACAGTTTACAAGACTCCTGTAAAATTGGAGAACTCCTCTTAAAGATGGGGATACACAGCAACATGGTGTTAAGTCACGAAATTAAAAGACGCCTGCTTCTTGGGAGAAGGGCAATGACAGGCCTAGACAGCATCTTGAGAAGTAGAGACGTCACCTTGCCAACAAAGGTCTGTATAGTTAAAGCCATGGTTTTCCCAGTAGTGATGTATGGAAGTGAGAGCTGGACCATAAAGAAGGCTGATCGCCGAAGAATTGATGCTTTTGTTTTGTTTTGTTTTTTTAAATTTTTATTAAGAAAAAATACACAGTTTACAGTATATTACAAGTACAAACATACAGCAAAAGAGTTCCATCAAAAAAAAAGAGTTCCATCAAGATAAAAAAGAGTTCCGTCAAAAAGACAAAAAATAAGAAAAGAAGAAAAAGAGAAGAAAAAAAAAATAAAGGTAAGAAAAATAAAAGAAGAAAAAGAAAAGGAAAAAAAACCAAAGAGGCAGATACAGTTAACAGAGCTTCCGTCCAACTCGGTCTTGGAGTTACCAATTCTTATATTATTTCTGCAGTTTTAATAAAACAAATATACATCGGTGATTTCAGCTATCGTCTACTGATAAGTTATTTATTCCCTGGGTATTTTCAAAATAAATTAGAAATTTATTCCATTCGTCTTTAAGTTTACTTGAGTTGTTTTGTCTTATTTTTTGTGTTAATCTCGCTAGTTCAATATATTGGTATAGCCTCAATTGCCATTCTCCTAAAGCAGGTAAGTCAGAGGTTTTCCATTTTTGTGCTATTTGGATCCTCGCCGCAGCCATAGCATATTGGAAAAAGGTTTGGTCTATTTTCTTTATTTCCTTACCAATCAGCCCTAAGAGAAACAGCTCGGGGGTTTTTGGGATGTTATACTTCAAAATTTTTTTCATTTCGTCATGAATTTGCGTCCAAAATTCTTTTACTACATCACAGGTCCACCAGATGTGGAAGAAGGTCCCAACCTTGTCTCTGCATCTCCAGCAGGTGTTGTCAACAGTTTTATACATTTTTCCTAACTTAGCTGGGGTCAAGTACCAGCGGTAAACCATTTTCTCTAAATTTTCCCGCAGAGCTACGCAAGCTGTAAATTTTACACCTTTCGTCCAGAGTATTTGCCATTTGTTATAATCTATATTATGACCGATGTCTTTCTCCCATTTTACCATAACCCCCTTCACCCGGTCTTCCTTAGTGTCCCATTCCAGTAATTGTTTATACATTTTTGAGAGGAGTTTATTATTACTTTCCAGGATTTCAACCTGAAACCTCGATTTTTTTTTCATTCATGCCCAATCTCTTATGCTCACCCCATAAGGCGTAAATCTGGTGAAAGTGGAACCATTCTTTTATTTTATCTTTCAGTTCCTCATAAGGCTTCACCCTCCAACCTGTTTCTGTCTTTTCCAGAATATCCTCATACGTCCATTTTTCATCTGCCATATTTATTTTTTTTATTTTAATAATATTGGTTGGGGAGAGCCACCATGGAATACCTTTCTCGATCAGTTTTTTATACCTCTTCCACACTTCCAATAATGGGCCTCTGATTATATGATTAGAAAATCCTCTGTGGACCTCCCCTTTATCTTGCCATAGGTAGGCATGCCACCCGAATCTTATATTAAAGCCCTCCAAATCTAAGAGGTCTGAATTTCTGAGGGTGGCCCACTCCTTTATCCAGCAGATACAGGCTGCTTCGTAGTATAACCTAATATTTGGGACTGCGAATCCGCACCTTTCTCTCGAGTCTGTTAGATATTTCAACTTTACTCTGGCCCTCTTCCCCTGCCAAATAAACTTGGTCAGGGTTCTTTTGCCAGTTCTTAAAGAGGGAGGTGCCTTTAATTATCGGAATATTTTGAAAGAGGAATAATATTTTCAGGAGGATGCACATCTTAATGGCTGACATCCTCCCTGTCCATGAAAGTTTTAATCTGTGCCAAGTATCTAGGTCCTTTTTAATGTCCTGCCACACCTTACTGTAATTGTCCTCAACCAAGTTTATATTTTTAGGTGAGAGCCAGATTCCCAGATATTTTACTTTATTCACAGCTTTAATGCCGATCTTTTCTTCCAATTGAATTTTCTCCTGTTCAGTCATGTTCTTTGTTAGGATTTTTGTTTTTTCCTATTTAATCTGAAACCGGACAGCCTACCAAAATCCTCCAAAAGTTCAACCACTCTGCTTGCACTATCCACTGGGTTCTCCACAGACAGAACCAGGTCATCAGCATAGGCTTTAAGCTTAAATTCTTTGTTCCCAATTTTTATCCCCCTCACATTCACTGCCTCCCTTATTCTATTTGCAATAACTTCTAAAACCATTATAAATAACAGGGGGGACAAAGGGCAGCCCTGCCTTGTACCCTTCTTAATCTTAAATGATTTCGTCAGATTATCATTTATAATCAGCCTGGCCTGTTGTTCTGAGTATATTGCCCTGATACCTTTCAAATAAGGACCTTCAATGCCTGCCTTTTCCAAGCAATGTAATAAGAATTCCCATGAGACATTATCGAAGGCCTTTTCGGCGTCTATGAAGATTAGTGCAGCCGGGACATCTATTCTCATATCTAGGTATTCAATGATGTTTAAAATGTGGCGGACATTTTCTTTCTGGTGTCTGTTTGGGAGAAAGCCCACTTGGTCTTTATGTATATACTTCGTTAAGAGCTTCTTAAGTCTACTGGCCATAATGTCCGCAAAGATCTTATAATCGCTGTTAAGTAAAGAGATTGGCCTGTAGTTTTTTATATCTGTTTTTTCTTTCTCTGTTTTTGGGATCAAAGTTATATAAGCCTCCTTCCACGAGGCCGGGATCTTCCCCCCTGAAAGATGTTATTAATCACGTCTTTTAAGACCGGGGCTAGATGTTCTTCTAATGTTTTATAATATTTTGCGGACAGGCCGTCCGGCCCGGGGGCTTTCCCGGTCTTCATTCTGCTAATGGCCTCCTTGATCTCATTTACTGTGATCTCCTTATTCAGTTGTATTCTATCCTCTTCTAGTATATATTTCTTTTCATTTTGTTCCAAATAATTCTTAATCTCTACACTGTTTTCCCCTCCTTTTTCGTATAGCTTTTCAAAAAATTGGGTAAACCTATTTTCTATTTCCTTTGGGTCTTCTATGATATTATCCTCCAGTATTATTTTATTTATCATGTTTTGTTTCTTTCTTTTTCTTAACTGCCAGGCGAGTAACTTCCCCATTTTATTTGCCGACTCAAAATACCTTTGCTTTGTAAATTTAATTTTCCACTCTATCTCTTGATTTAGTATTGCTGAGTATTGAGATTGTAACACCTTAGAGGCTCGGTTAGCAGCTTCATCTGTTGGGTTTTTAATTAATTTTTTCTCATAATTTCTCAATTGAGAGAGGATCTCCTCTTTCTTACGCTCCCTTACCTTTCTCCTGTAATTATTTTGTTGTATTAAGAGACCCCTCAGGACCGCCTTGCTGGCGTCCCAGACTACATCTATAGGGGTTTCTTTGTTCAGGTTTAAGTTTAAGTATTCTTTTAGGGTGCCTTTAATTCTTTCCTTCACCTCTTCACTATCAAATAAATTCTCACACATCCTCCATCTGTATTGTCCCTTCACTTCATTTTTTATTTCCATATCTAGAGCACAATGATCTGATAATGTCCTAGGATGAATCTCACATTTCTTAACTCTCATAGAAAGTGCTCTTGTCAACCAGATCTGATCTATTCGGCCCCAGCTCTGATGGGGTTCGGAGTAATGAGTAAACTGTTTAGAGGTGGGGTTTTGATGTCTCCAAATGTCAATTAGATCTAGGTTTTCTTCCATATCCCTAAATGATTTCGGCAGTTTTCCCCTATTCAGTTTCCCCTTCCCTATACTCCTATCCAACTCCGGCGCTGGGACGCCATTCATATCCCCAAGCAAGATTAATTTGCGGTTATCCAATTCTAATAACATGCTTTCAAGTTTCTCAAAAAACTCCCCTCTGTTTGTGTTCGGAGCGTATATCGTTACAACATTAATTTTTTCCCCCCGGAAATTTAATTGAATTCCTAAAATTCTTCCTTCCTCGTCCTTGCAGATCAAAGTCGGTTCCCATTTTTCTTTAACATATATTACTACTCCTCTTTTTTTTCTAACATCGGAATTAACAAAATCTACCCCTAATTTTTTGTTCACCAGGATATGTTTGTGTTTTTTAGCAATATGAGTTTCCTGAAAGCAGATTACGTCATACCTCTTATTTTTCAAAACTTTCTCAATTTTATTCCTTTTAACTTTCTCGTTCAACCCGTTTACATTCCAGGATAAAAATTTCAATGAGTGTGTAATGATTTACCTTTTATCTGCTTCTAAACCTTTAACCGTATTCGGCAACTATAATCTCTCTCCCTTATTTCCTGAGAACTCCCCCTCTTCTACAGTCTCCGCTCCCACTGCGGCCTCCTCATCCTCTTCATCTGATTCCACCACCTCCCCCTCTGCACTCCTCTCCTCCTCGTATATGTCTCTTATCTCTCCATCCTCTTTTTCCAACCTGTTCCTTAGTCTATTCTCTATCTTTCCCAGATCTTTTTCATATCTTCTCAAAAACTTATCCGCCTCCTGTGTGTCCAGCAATCTAAATTTTTTCTCTTTATTGATGCTTTTGAATTATGGTGCTGGAGAAGACTCTTGAGAGTCCCATGGACTGCAAGAAGATCAAATGCATCCATTCTTAAGGAAATCAGCCCTGAGTGCTCACTGGAAGGACAGATCGTGAAGCTGAGGCTCCAGTACTTTGGCCACCTCATGAGAAGAGAAGACTCCCTGGAGAAGACACTGATGCTGGGAAAGATGGAGGGCACAAGGAGAAGGGGGCGACAGAGGGTGAGATGGTTGGATAGTGTTTTCGAGGTTACCAGCATGAGTTTGACCAAACTGCGGGAAGTAGTGGAGGATAGAGGTGCCTGGCGTGCTCTGGTCCATGGGGTCACGAAGAGTTGGACACGACTAAACGACTAAACAACAACAACAAATTTTTTATTTGTTAGCTCTTTGAGAAATAAATTACATGGAAGGAAAGCCTAAGCATTAGTAATATAACAGGGTTTTACTGTATCTCGGGAAAGCCTTCCCTTGAATTTTAGGGATACAGGAGTAAAAACTCCATCACTTAAGGAGAAAAATTTCACCTTTCCCTTGCTAAAATGTCTATTACATACTATAACTTGTAACAGATTAGTAATTCAAAGTGTGTTTAAATAGGATTAGAAATTGCATGTTTGTCATTGTTATTTGGTTATATTTCCTAGCCATGTGTAATATTGATTCAACTTTATTACAGAATCTATTTGAAAGCACAGCTATGGATTTTTGATATTTGTTTAGTTTTCGGTAGGGAAAAATGGGTGAATGTGTTTAAGCAAAGCATTCTTCCATAGCTTTCTCTCACACGAAAATTAATCTTTCTAAAGCAGATGAAAATTAGCATTTTGGTTTAGTTCAGACTACTAATTTTCCAGTCATCTTGACAATGATGATGTGAGACTCAACTTTGTGTTTTGTACCATTATAAAATGTTTGTCCTGCTCCTGGGATAAGTCAGTTGTTGCGTTGCTTCTATTCCACCTCCAGAAACTGTTCAGTTGGAAGGAAACTGATTCTCTTTTGTCTGGTATGTCTCAAATTGGTGGACGAAATGTTTTTCATCTCCTGTTATTTATTTATTAACAGCCTCATACTCATCTTTGCTTCGGGAATTCTAAGAAACAAACAAAACAAAACAAAAAGCGGCTCTGGAAAATTTAGTCCACCATCTTGATGCAAAATAGCATCCAATTTTATCCAAACATAGATGAAAACCTGCTCAGGAACTTTCATGCAATATTTAGTAATGATATCTTAATAACAACAAATTTCCAAAATATAAAGCAGATTTGTCTGTTTATTCCTCCAATCTGTAGAACATCCATCATGCCATTGTGCTCCCAGGGCGGTTTCTAAAAATACACAAGCAGTAATAATATATAAAATTATTGAGACTAATCCTATTTTTTTCAGTGCTTTGCAGTGCATTTCCCCAGAAGATACACATTTTAACCATAAAATGCACATTTTTGTGTACACTTGTTGCACACTACTTTGCAAATCCCAGAGATGTGTGAAATCTGATCAGGCGCTGAGTTCCAATCTGCAAGCAAGTTTGGAACTGTCAAATTGGATCAGTCAGCTGCAAAAAGTGCAGACAATGAATGCTTCTTCCTTTCCTATCCCTAGCAAAGACTTGAACAGTGGTCTTGGACTCCAGGGATATAAAAGAAAAGAACTTAAAATAAGTGTTGGAACTGTGTTGCAAACAGAGCACACAATTGGTGCCCCTTTGTGGACAGAAGGCTTTTTGATCCAAAGGAGCGGAAGAGGGATTGAGTCAATCTTTGCCAATTCACCTTCCACTGATTTGTAAGAGCTGGCCTTGACACCAGACTTCTGAATGGGATGGGCAGGTTGAATGGGGGGAAATGTTTGTTCAATGTGAGTGATTTTTTTCATGGGGGGGTTGAGTTTTTGTTAATGTTGCTCACTAGCATTTATATGGCTGGTATGTGTGTCGTCGTCCCCCCCCCCGGACGTTAGCTTATATGAAATATTAATGTATTATATGGTTTCCCTTCTTTCCCCCTATGGTATTATGTACTAAAGGTACATAACGTAGGTGGGGCTGTGGTCTAAACCACTGAGCCTCTTGGGCTTGCCAATCAGAAGGTTGGTGGTTCGAATCCCTGCAACAGGGTGAGCTCCCGTTGCTCTGTCCCAGCTCCTGCCAACCTAGCAGTTCGAAAGCACACCAGCACAAGTAGATAAATGGGTACCGCTGCAGCAGGAAGGTAAACGGTGTTTCTGTGCACTCTGGTTTCCATCACGGTGTCCCATTGCACCAGAAGTGGTTTAGTCATGCTGGCCACATGACCCGGAAAGCTGTCTGTGGACAAACACCAGCTCCCTCAGCCTGAAAGCGATGAGTGCCGCAACCCCATAGTCGCCTTTGTCTGGACTTCACCATCCAGGGGTCCTTTACCTTTACCTATTATGTACTGTATATTGTTCTTTGCCATAAGTCACGAGGAGACCTTCAGGTGACAAGCAACTAATAAGTGTAATAAAGAATAATAAAGAATACAGACACAGCTGTTCTAGAACATTGAGCAAGTCCAAAAGCCGGTCACAAAAATTTCCTCAGTAGTATAACGGTTGAGGAGGGCCCTGATGCTTGCTGCACCACCAATAATCTGACAAGTACAGAGCTTTTGAACTGATTCAAGGTGATGTTTCTCATTCACACTTGCAAATTCCCACACTTGGTTTTCCTGCCTTCCATTAAACAACACGTTCTGTGTGAATGTACCCTAACAGCCTGATCCCAATGAGGTAAAAATGGAATCAGACTTACTCCAAGGAAGTCTGCATAGGATTGCTGCTTGCAGGTCTACTTAGCTGTTCCAGAAATGAAGAAGTGGGAAAGGAATTAGTTGAGAACAGCTCCAATGCATAAAAATAGTGTAATTCTTTAAAAGTCAATAAGACACTCTCCTTTATTTAAGAAGTGAGAAATATTTTTCATCGCCAGAATGCTTCAAACAATTCTACCTATTAAAAAGCCATTAAAGCCGGGGAGGCACAGAAGCATATCCACAACAGCTGTTCTGAGGAAATACTTTGTATTACGAACTATTATTGGAAAATGAAGGTCAAGTAGAACAACACTGTTCACATGAAGTTGTTTTCCTTTTTGTTCCACCTCTCCCTCTCTCACACAAAATGAACAAGACTTTATTCTTTTAAAATGCATCAGATGAAGGGAA